ATGCAAACCAAACATTTTTTTTAGAGTGCAAGTAATACAGATTATGCAGTATATACTATACATATACATTCTCATCTCAGATTTAAAAACAGTTTCTGAAAGATCTAGTGTTGTCAACAACATGATACTGCCCCAGTGTTATTCAGACACTAACAAACTGCAACCACCATCCAGCCGGAAATCTGGGACTGTTATGTAACCCAAATGTGGTCAATGGGTATTCAAAAATTTGAAAACCACCAGACTCAGTCAGTGTGAAGCCTTGCCAAATGTCCTAGCAGAAGCCTATCAGCACACAATCAGATATTTAAAATATTTGAATGCATGACCTTTTAATCTGTCTAAGACATCTGAACTCTACAGGAACTCTTAGAAGCTTTATGGGATCAACATGGTAAAGTGTGGTGCTAAAAACTATATAGTTATGGGTTTAGTTTGCAGGAAACAAACATGTTGATGTTTACACATGACAATGTTTACCTTGAATACACTGGAAGTAGCTTTGAATAAAGGCAATAAAAGCAAAGCCAATTAAATAATAAATACAATGAATAATCAATTAATTCAATAATTAAAACACAACTAATTTTTGGAAAATTACAATGGACTAACAAGCTAGTAGTTATCTCTGAGACGTTTATAGTTCCAATAGCAGGAGAAAAAAATCCAAATAAACATCAGTACACATTTTTGTAGCTGAAATAGGAATCTATATTAAATAAATAATCCTCATAAAAGAGCCCAATCACCTAGAATATTACTTTTGTCCATTATACAAGGGAAACTACAATCAACATTGCCTTACATCAAGCGATTTTTGATTTTTTTGTTGGCCAACATAGTGATACGTCACATTAAGTTCTCAGAAGGGGAAAGAAAGCCTAAATGCTATTGATCTGCTTCACTGCTTTGTATTCCATTCACTAATAATTACCAATGCAGTCCCTCCAATTACTCGGCTCTACTTAACATTTACAGCCACATGCAATCCACACACATTGATTCATTATGCAAATGACAGGGACTAATTTAAGGCTTGCTTACATGACTCCATTTAAAAACCTGCAGCTATGGCAATGCACTGCATAAATGAATTGAGACACAGTTTCCTTTTAATGCTGTACAGAGAATATTAGAAGCATTTAAGCCAAATATTAACAAATGGTTCAAATGTTTCTAATGATCTCAATGAGGACTTTATTGAACTCAAATGAAATTCAATACAATATAGTACGGAGCCAATGACAAATGAGTCTTCAATATTAACAGTGAATGTGGTGAGGACTGATGATAGGATTACTGTTAAGGTGACTCTCCAGTTTGAGAGTAGAGTGGGTGTCTAGCACCTGAGGGACAAAGAAGTTTATCTGGTAACTAGTGAGCCTGCTTCATCAAAAGCCATGAAAATCAGTGACAGGCTGAGGAGAAGGTAGGTTACATCTACTTGAAAGGCACTACTGGTTTTTTTTTTGTGTTTTTTTTTTTTTGTCAGAAGTGCTTCAGGTATAATTGCTTTGAAGATAACCATTATCTGGTGGCAATGATTATTTTTTTCTGCATATTTTATCCTGAGTCTCATGACCTCCCCCACAATTGGGAAAGGGGGCTTCTTTAGGAATATTCTATTAAAATATTGCAATGATACAATTATACTGCCACAGAAAAGAACTGGAAAAAAAGAAAGAACATATATTCTATTCTTTATCATCAACAAGTGCATTAAACGTCAGCCTACATTATATCATGTTTTCTCAAACTGGGGTTCATCATAAGTTGATGAAAAGCTTACAATGAATTAAATAATACATTTGTAAAATCAAAATAAATCAAAATAAAACAATTAATACAAAACTTTTTGAACTTCTATAATCATAGGCTTTTTATAAAGGAAAATTTTAAAGATAAAAAAGAAAAATTAGGTATAATCAATAAATTACAAATAGTTACTGCCATTGTGTGAATAATATTATGTACTCAATAAAAAAGTAACTTATTTGAAATCTCATTACAAGTAGGCCTACTTATTTTCTGTAATCTAATTATGTAATCCAGACTACATATAATCAGTTACAACCCAGCACTGTATATAATATATATTTACTTTTATATTTACTGTACATTCCTGCAGTGGTTTTAACAAAGAATAACATCTTGGTATTCATGGCTGGTGAATGTCAGATAATGTTAAGTTCCTGCCTGGTTTTCTAATAGCTTTCTGTATTACCAATAATAACATCCAGGGTCAGATACCACACAAAATTTAGACTCCTCGGTGGCACATAACATATTGAAGTTATTCTTGAACAAAATTTAAGAAAAATGTGATAATGTTAACAATATAATGTTAAGATGTACCACTGGCATCATATCTGTAGTATACAGTATGTTGATATATTACAGCCAAATTGCAAATATTAAACGTGGGCTTACTGGCACAAAGTCAAGAACCATTTAAGCGAGATCACAGTATTTGTCATAATTTATGCTCTTCAGCTCAAGAGACCAACAACGCCAAGGATAAAGACAGATTAGATACACTCTGAGAAGTCATTAACATTTTAAATCCTAAATATTCTCTTCAATACTACATGCTTAAATTTGTGATCATTTTGTGTTGAAAACAGCACAATTCCACAAATAATGCAAAATACAAGAGGAGCTGATTGTAGATATATATCATTAATGT